GCACCGCATTTGCGGCGGTGTCCGGATACTCTCTGCGGACCTTGAAAATTCAGGTGAGGGATGTACGTGGAGATGTCGCGCCGGTTCGTACCCATATCCGCAGCAGGTCTCCAAGGTGAAGAGCCTCTAGTCGATAGAATAATGTAGGTAAGGGAAGTCGGCAAATTGGATCCGTAACTTCGGAATAAGGATTGGCTCTGAGGACCGGGGCGTGTCGGGTTTGGACGGGAAGCGGATGCGGCCGGTGCCGGGCCTGGTCGATGCTCGTGCGTCTCTCGGGGCGTGCGGGCTGAATCCGGACCCGCGTTCCGGCCTTCCGCGGATCTTCCTAGCCGTAAGGTCGCGTCGGTTTCGTTTCGTGCGCGATCGGCGCGCGCCTGTACGACCGCCGTTCAACGGTCAGCTCAGAACTGGCACGGACAAGGGGAATCCGACTGTCTAATTAAAACAAAGCATTGCGATGGCCCTCGCGGGTGTTGACGCAATGTGATTTCTGCCCAGTGCTCTGAATGTCAACGTGAAGAAATTCAAGCAAGCGCGGGTAAACGGCGGGAGTAACTATGACTCTCTGAGGTGGATCCTTAGCGCCATGGTGTACGCGTTAAACGATAAATATCGATCGCTGAGGTTCTGATAGCCTCTTAACGGGGCGCAGCGGGGTCGCCTGCTCGCGTCCCGGCCCTAACGGGAGGAGATAGTGGGTGCTCCTCTCTCAACGGAGCAAAGTGTGGTGGTTGGGAAACCGCCAGCCATTTTTTCAGCCACTTCAATACACGATCTCTGTTGAGTTAGTAAATGGGGTTTGTGTGCCTGGGTGACCCTTTCCAGACACGCAGACTCAACTCCTACCCGAGGCCTGCACGTGGCACCGCCGCTTATAACTGACACGGGAGGGGGGGACGTGCCTAAATTAGTATGCCCCGGAGATGGCTGTTGCGGGGTAACCGCCTCGTTGGTACATTCCTAATTCTGCGAGGCCCAGCGCGTTTCCACTATAGTCTCCCGTTCGGCTGTCTCTTCGCGGCTTTCAGTCGTGTTGTTGGCAGTCGGACGGGAGACTTTAGTCAGGCTTGTGAACCGGGTTTGCTAGATTCGTCTAGTATGCGCAGCGTCTCAGATCATGGGGCGTAATCCGGGCTAGGTTCGGGTGAGATTCCCGAATAGTCCCATCGGGTGGCAATGTGTCGCCAAGTCGAACCGCTGACTTCGGTCGGGACAATACGAGATGCGGTAGGCGAACCAGGTGGCTGGGCTTGCACCCCGGCCACATTGGGCATAACCACAAGCAATGGACAGAATAAGAGGAAATCGATTATTTTGCCACCCTGGCCTCCCACAGGAGCCGGGGAGCTTGGCCCAATCTTCGGCCGCTCAAACTGGGGCTCCGGCCACAGTTTCCGCGGTCACTGACTGGACTTGTCCGGTGTGTGGACGTGCGTTCACCACCAAAACGGGGTTGGGGGTCCACAAGCGTAGGGCCCACCCCGAAGTAGCAAATGCGGAGGCCGCTCCAAATATGGTGAAGCGCAGGTGGCGCGATGAGGAGCTGGCATTGATGGCGCGTACAGAGGCGCGATTACTGGAGGAGACCGGACGATGTACGAACGCAGACCTGTACAAAAGTCTGTCGGGGTCCGAGCGGACCCTAGAGGCAATCAAAGGAAAGAGGCGCTGTGGGGAGTATAAAATCCTGGTACAAGCGTGCCGGGAAGAGTACAGATCCCCACCAATAAGCAGCCAAGCGCCAGAGAACAGGGGTTCGACACGGCCGGAATCTGAAAGTGTCGAGATGCCGGTCCAGCCTCTGCCAGCTGAAGACGCACCGCCTGTCGCCGATGATCCATCACCGCACTTAGGTGGTGCCCCAGATAACACGTGTGCAGACCAAATTGTCGCGGATCTTCTAGCGAGGGCCGCGGTGAGGAGGTCGCGACACGGCCTGGGTTCCCGTAGTGCGAGGCGGCACCGCATACCGAACGTGACTCGGGCCGACACCGCACTGGCCGGTTTGTCGAGCCGCAAGAGGAGGAGAATAGAGTACGCCAGGGTACAGGAACTATTCCAGAAGTGTCGCAGTCGAGCAGCAGCCGAGGTGATCGATGGAGTGCACAGGAGCGTCCGGCACTCTCTCGAAGATTTGGAAGCCTATTGGCGACCGGTCCTAGAGAGGGTGTCTGATGCCTCAGGGCCTACACCGTCTGCTCTAAACGCCTTACGGCGGGAGGAGCAGTATGGGGGCGCACGCGATTACTCTCGGCTGTGGGTGCCTTTCACGACCGACGAAGTGAAGGCGTCCAAGTTTGACTGGCAGACAGCGCCTGGTCCGGACGGTATCCGTCCGGATGAGTGGCGCCTAGTTCCTGCGGCCCGAAAAGCGGAAATTTTCAACTCTTGGATGACCACTGGCGTAGTACCAGAGCCCCTGCGGCAATGCCGGACAGTCTTCGTGCCGAAGATGGATGATCCTGCTGGGCCGAGCGACTATCGACCGATTTCGATCGCCTCGATACCGCTTAGGCACATGCACTCGATCCTGGCGAGAAGGCTTCTGGATTGCTGCCCCCCCGATGCACGACAGCGTGGATTCGTCCGCGCCGACGGCACGTTGGAGAATTCCGCCGTGCTGGACGCGGTGCTAGGGGATAGCAGGAAAAAGTTAAGAGAGTGTCATGTGGCTATTCTCGATTTCGCGAAGGCGTTCGACACGGTGTCTCATAGAGCGCTGGTCGGGCTTCTTCGGGCTCGAGGGTTGCCCGTGGCATTCTGTGATTACATCCACCGGCTGTACGACGCGGCGACCACCAATTTGGACGTCGGCGGACAGTCGGGTGAACCTGTTAGATTGGGCCGAGGTGTGCGTCAGGGAGACCCGTTGTCGCCCATCCTGTTCAACATGGCGATGGACGTAATTCTTGCTGCTCTACCGAAAGAGGTAGGCTATAGGCTAGAGATGGAGCGAGTCTCGGCTCTAGCCTATGCCGATGACCTAGTCCTGCTTGCAGGCTCAAAGGTAGGGATGCAGGAATCCATCGACCGTGTGTTCGAGGTTGCGTCGTCGATGGGCCTCTTGGTCAATCATACCAAGAGCTCCGTCTTGTCGATGGTGCCAGACGGGAAGCGCAAGAAGCACCACTATCTGACCGGGAAGAATTTCCGGATAGGTCGGAAGTGGCTGCCTCAAATCTCTTGCGTGGAACGTTGGCGCTATCTGGGCATCGACTTCCAGGCGTCTGGATGCGTGACGTTAGAGCATAATATCAAAGTTGCCTTGACCAACATCTCAAAGGCACCCCTCAAGCCGCAGCAGCGGCTCGAAATTGTGAGGGGACACCTTATTCCGAGATTTTTGCATGGCCTTGTGCTAGGTAATATCTCGGATGATAGGTTGTGTATGCTCGACGTCCAGATCCGGGGTGCGGTTAGGACTTGGCTGAGGCTCCCGAAGGACGTGCCTGTCGGGTACTTCCATGCCGACATCAAGGACGGCGGCCTAGCGATCCCATCGCTTCGGGCGACCGTCCCGGACCTCATACTTAAGAGGTTCGGGCGGCTCGACTCGTCGAGTTGGTCAGTGGCAAAGGCCGCCGCTAGATCCGAAAGGATCCGTAAGAAGTTGAGCTGGGCCGACAAGCAATTCCGAAAGTTCACCAGAGAGGATCCGGTCACGGGCCTTAGGTCCGTCTCACGGTTTTGGCGCGAGGGGCTGTGGAGCTCAGTGGACGGGTTCGAGTTACGCGAATCCGCCCGCACTCCCGCGTCCACGAAGTGGATTCGGGAGGAGTCTTCACATGTCTCTGGTCGGGACTTCGTGCAGTTCGTCCACACGCACATCAATGCCCTCCCGTCACGGGTTCGGACATCCAGAGGGCGCAGGATTGGTCGTGAGGCGGAGTTGAACTGCCGCGCCGGGTGCGTGGTTAGGGAAACGACGGCTCACACCATCCAGCAGTGTTGGCGGACGCACGGGGGCCGGATCTTACGCCACGATCGTGTTGTGAGGCTAGTAGCAGACGCGATGGCTTCAGACCAGTGGTCGGTGGTGACAGAGCCTCATGTCAAGACCTCGAAAGGCCTTCGGAACCCCGACATAGTAGCCGCTAAAGGGGGCGTCGGAGTGATCGTGGACGTGCAGGTGGTCTCGGGCCAGCGGCCTCTCGATGATGCTCACCGTGAGAAACGTAGTAAATACGGGACTCACGAGGAGCTAGTCGAGAAGGTTGCAGGTATACTAGGACTACCTAGCAAGGATTGTGTCCGCGCGACCTCTTGTACGATCTCCTGGCGAGGTGTTTGGAGTCACTCCTCCTATAAGGAGTTGAAGAGACTCCTTGGGCTGAAAGAGAGTCTGTTCCGAGCTATACCGGTGGTGGTATTGCGCGGTTCGCACATGAACTGGACAAGGTTCAGTCAGATGACCGGGATTGGGGTGGGAGACCCAGTGTGAGCGCCCGGAGTCCTGTGGGACTTCTGGGCTGCTGCCGAGCCCTGGGGTGGTCGCGGCCATGTGCCTAGTTGCAAAATACCAATTTCCCCTAACATCCAGCGGCCACCAGTGCAACAGCAATCGGCACAATGCTGATCTGCCAAGCCCCTGTGGACGGGAGATTGGGGACTAAGTGACGTCTCTCGTGGCATCCATAATTATTAGTGATTACGTTCACTAAGACGATGGTATGATGATCGGCGGAAATAGCCAAATGCCTCGTCATCTAATTAGTGACGCGCATGAATGGATTAACGAGATTCCCACTGTCCCTATCTACTTCTTCTTCTTCTTCTTCGACTTCGGTTCCGGTCGTTGTATCGATCGGACGTGTCGCGAGCTTGCGCTTTCTTTTGTTTTTCTTTTTACTGGTTATTTTGAGTATTTCTGTTGTGTTTTTACTGCTTTTTCGTTATATGTACTTTATTTTGTTATATACATTATTAATGTTAGTGTTGTGCTTTGAATTAACGCTTAATTAGACTGTTTTCGTGCATTTTGTGAACTATTAGTGATATTATAACATTAGTGGGTAGTTGGCTTCTGACGTGCCGTTCGAGGGCCTTCTAGAACCTTCGGTGGCTACTCGCCGCCAGGGGGTGATAGTGTGCACTTCCGGCACTGCGACGCCATCTGCGGGCGCCGTTCGCGCAACCATTGCGGTTTGTGCTGTCTGTGCCTGGCAGGGCCGGTGTGGCGTCTGTTGCGCCGCGCGCCGCTGAGTGGCGCTATGTGTGTGTCCGCACCTCAGCGACACCTGTTTAAGCTAAGTACTATTAACTGTGAAAGTGACACTTTAGCTATAGTTTTGTTGTATTTTTATTAGTTTAGGATATTGCCGCCAGATGGCGCCACTATAGTCGTAAGTCAGCGACATCTCATGGCTGGGCTGTGATAGTGACACTTTTAGTTTTTAATTTATTTTGTACTTTTATTATATTTGTTTTAGTCCGAGTGTGTCCCGCTAGAGGGCGCTTATGTGCGTTTGACATATATCTGGCGACCACTTGGGTCACCATAAGTTTTCTTGGACTTAGAAAATTTTCAAAATTTTTTAGAACCTTTTGCCTCTCATGTACGTGAACAATTGGGTATGCCTTTTTTTTTTTTTTTTTTTTATAGGATGAGGGTGACAAACGAGCACACAGTCCACCTGTTGGTAAGTGGTTGCTGCGGCCCATAGACATCTACATCTATCCTCTGTTACAAATCAAAATGTAGATGCGTTGTCACCCGTGAGGACTAAGATGGAATGCCTCATTTCCAGTAAAAAGGGCCTCCGGCCACCTGCACTCACCAAGCGAAACGCAGAGGTAAACCTCTACTTCACGCTGGTTTTCTGTGAGGTCGTGGTACTACCCCGGCTCGAGCCGGCCCATCCGTGCGACAGCAAAAGCTGCCGCGTGGCTCTACCACTGTTAAAATGCCTCTCCGCAGGTTAAATTTTTAAAGTTAGAAAGTGTTAATAACTTTTAAATTTTTGAATTTTTCATTTTGTTTTTGGGCTTAACCTTCTTACTACTGACTCTACATAGTGTAGTTAGAAAATTGTGGTGATGGTGGACGAACCCCCCATTTTCGCACCGAGGAAATCCCTGGTGCGCACGCCCCCCGGGGGTGCTTCGGCGAAGCCTGCAGGTCCGGGTGCACAGAACCCGAAGGGTAGCACTAGCACTACGGCCGAAAAACGCCCGCTTACATCTCCGGACCAGCAGCAGCCTATGGTGCAGCGCCAGAAGATGGAGAAGAAGAAAGTAGTAACTGCGGCCCCAGTTGCAGCCACTTCGGAGTCAGCCAGGTCAGTTGTTGAGGAGGAACTAGAAGTCATAGAAGAGGGCTTTGATGCATGCAAGGCCACTCCTCTCGAAATAATAGAGCATACACGAGCGGCGGTTAAGACAATAATGGGCATCGTCTCTGGTCCGGGCTGCAAATTAAATAAAACAGAGGTTAATAAAATCTCAATAACTGGACAGGACATGATCGCAATGGTGGCGGCGATTGAGGTCCAAGTTTTGGAGGCGCAGTTAGCCTTGAGTAAGGCAGAGAGGGATAGGGCTTATGCTGAGGCGAAGCTGGCGCACCAGGAGGCCACGCGTGCACCCGCAGGTGACGGGGACCATGCCCCCAGCAGCTTTGCATCCGTACTGAGGATGCCAAAGGGTGTCACGTCGGTGCCCATCCCCGAGAAGGCTGGCCCAGTCCTGGCCTTCTATCCAGCTGGGGAGCAGGCACACCTGAAAACTGCGGATGACACGAAGGCGGAATTGAAGAAATCTGTACGGCCTTCTGAGATAAACATCCAGATTTCGAAACTGAGGAAAGTGGGGAATGCTGGGGTGGTGGTCCAGACCACGTCCCAAGAGGCGGCAATAAAATTAAAGACTGCAGCTCCTCCCACATTGAGGATAGCAGAGCCACGACAGCGCCAACCACTAGTTGCGCTGCGTGGCTTTGAAGAAGACGTCAAGACTGAGGAAATCTTGCCTGCCCTCCACGACCAAAATTTTGGTGAAGAAGAGAAGTGGAGTCTAGAAGAGATAACCAGGCAGTGCAAAGTAGCTTTTAAGAAGTCGTGGAAGGGCAGCAGGCGAACAACAGTGGTGCTACAGTGCACCTCTGCATTTAGAGACGCATTGACGTCTAGAAACAGAGTTTATATAGGGTGGGACGTGGTCGAACCATGTGATTTCATTGATGTCACCTGTTGCCAGAAATGCCAACAATTCGGGCACCCAGCCAAATATTGTAGAGCCAAGGAAACAACGTGCGGCAAGTGCGGAGAAGAGGGGCACAATAGGGAGGAGTGTAAGTCCTCTGAGACGTGCTGCGCAACCTGTCGCAGATTTGGCAAGCCGGGCGCTAAGAGCCATGCCACGATGGCGAAGACCTGCCCGGCAAGGGTGTACGCAGAAGAGCGAGCCATAAGCACCACGCAGTATGGATAAGGCGACTCCCTGATTATTGGGCAGCTTAACTTGGGGCGGGGCGAGGTGGCTACGAAAGAACTGCCAGAAATAGCACGTAATATGGGTCTGGACTTTATACTTGTCCAGGAGCAGTGGGCCCAAGGTAAGGATATGATACAGTTTGGCATGGAGCCCCAGGCAGGGATCCTAACTCCACATCATCGCATTGGTGTAGCTGGCCTGCCCCATTTTAGTAACTCCTACTGCGTGGTCTGCCATGTGGAGAAGTACGGTCTCTACCTTATATCAGCATACTTTAGGTATAGCGATCCTATCGACACTCATCTGCAACACCTAGAGACCGTACTTGACCAGTTAAAAGGCAAGCGCGTTGTAATCGGAGTGGATTGCAACGCGCACTCGCCACTCTGGTACAGTGATCAATCGCAAATAACGGGCAGAGGACACGAAGCGGACCATAGACTCTCTGCGGACCTTGAAAATTCAGGTGAGGGATGTACGTGGAGATGTCGCGCCGGTTCGTACCCATATCCGCAGCAGGTCTCCAAGGTGAAGAGCCTCTAGTCGATAGAATAATGTAGGTAAGGGAACGACCCTCCACCTCCCATGGCCCCACCGACCCTCAGGTCATACGGGCCGAATCTCGGGAGATGCGCGCGGTACTTGCACGTGGCTCTTTCCCGCGCACACTTTCTTGACTCCCTACAAATATTTAATCTATTCCTTGTCCCAGTTTAACGTCATTCTCCCCCTTCTGGGGCTGACGACACATTGACGCCTACGTCGTCGGGCGCTCCTACCAGCCTTCCATCCTGCCTTGTCCTGCGATCGTGCCACCTATGCGCAAACTCGCGCAACAGTCCGTAGTTTACCACATCGCTGACGAGATCCGAGTAGTAAACTGGTCCCTGAACCGGACGAACTAGTCCATCCATCATTTTCACTCTTAGGTCATCATACAGAGGACATTCCCATAGAACATGGTGAACATCCTCCTCCGACATACCGCACTCACACATACTAATTTCACACAATTTCATGTCGCTCAGTCTCTTCCGAAAGCATCCATGTCCGGTGAGAATCTGAGAGGTTTGGTAGTCCGGTGAGACCCAGGTATAACTGAGTCTCAACGCCACGTCCGGGAAAAATCGATGTAGCTCACGTCCTTTTGTATCACACGTCCATCTATCCTGCCAGGCGCCTATCACCTCAGTCCAGATATCGCGATTCCGTCTGCTCAACTCCTCTTTGGGCGCGGTCAAACGTGCTATACCCATCCTACCAGCACGGATGACCTCTAGGTCAGCAGGGAGAACGCCAGCCAGCACCGGTAAGGCCGCCATGCTAGTGGATCGGTACGCCTTGGTTAACAATACAAGAGCGGATCGCTGCGATCTCAGTAGTACGCTACGAACTGTGTACATGTTTGCACGCTCGTACCAGCACTCTGCCGCATACGTAAGCGTGGACACAAATACTCCTCTATAAATTAATTTTAAACTCGGATATCGTACACCCCATGATGATGTAGATACGCGAGACATCTTGCCGAATCCCTTGGTCGCTCTTTCAGAGATATCGGATGCATGTTGCACAAACGATAGTCCCGAGTCTAAAACCACGCCTAATACCTTAACGTTAGTCACAGTCTTAATAGACTCCCCACCAAGTTTAATAACGGGGGGGCGCTGAAGTTTCCCTCTAATAGTCATGGTGGTCGACTTTGAGGAGGAAAACTCCAGTCGATTCCTTAGCCCCCACTCCCGTACAAGGTCCAGAGTGACTCTGGCCCTGGATTCGATACCCGCTCTCGTACCCGATTCAATCAAGATTGTAACATCATCGGCATAGGCAGTCATGGCTACTCCCTCGGGCAGAAGGAGTCGGAGCAGGTCGTCCATCAGCACATTCCACAGTGTTGGGCCCAGCACGGAGCCTTGAGGACATCCCATGGTCGACGTCTTCCACTCTACCCGGTCTCCGATGTAGAGGCCCACACGCCTGGAGGTGAAGTAGTCCACCAACATTCTATAAATGTTGGGTGGACATCCACCCCTTTTGGCCTTGACCATCATCATCGGCCACCAGGCATTGTCGAAGGCGCCGGAGATATCTAAGAATATTGCTTGCACGTAGCATGCCTGAGAATACCTTGCCGTGCTGAGCAGTACACGCAGCGCTGTTACTGTAGACCGCCCCGGAGAAAATCCGTGCTGGTACTCGGATATCCCGCGGCTAATCGCGGGAGCACATCTTAAAATTACTCGTTCCAATAATTTTCCCAAAACAGGGAGGAGCGTTATTGGACGGTATGCCTTGACGTCGGTGAGCGGCTTGTCATTACCCTTGGGAATGACAATCAGTCTTCCGTCCTTCCATACATTGGGGAAAACCCCCTCTTCCACACACTTGGCATACACCGAGTGAAATTCCCTCGGTGCCGCAATCCACACATTCCTCACGATTCTCGCACTCACTCCATCGAGTCCCGGAGCCGTGTTGGGCAAGGCCTTAACTATACCACCCAGTTCCTCAACCTTAAGTGGAGGCGCAGCTCCACCCGACGGCATGAAAGCCGCCAGCAGACGAACCTGCCGGTGATAAGGCGAGTCGCAGTCAGTGCTGTCATCCGGACAGAGCGCAGACATTAATTTATGCATCGCTGCTTCCAGACCGTCCGGGTGTACACCCGCAAAGGCGATCCCATTGATCACATTTGCAGGCGGACGTACCCTGCCGCTGGCGAGCCTGTATGCAAAGCCCCATGGGTCCTCATTGCCAGAGTTGGCAATCTTCCTGTGCTGCGACTGCTGCGCCTCCACCATCATCTTCCTATATCTCGCACGCACACTATGGAAAGCCATCCTGGCTAACTCCTCAGACCTACCTCCCAGACGCCTTTTACTCTGCCAAGCACGCCTAAGTTTGCATTGCAACTTCCGAGTTTTATCTAGTTCAAATGTCCACCATTCATACCCCCCCGACCCCCTGGGGCGACGCTTCCCTAGGCCTTCCTCCGCAGAGCGAATTACGATCCCTGAGAACTCCTTCGCCAGGAGAGCCGCGGGTTTTTCTACGTGCAGCCATCCCATTCGTAATTTGACAATCGCCCGGAACCTTTCCCAATCCACCTCTCGGTCACGAAAACGGGGAGGATCCCTAACGGATGCTGCGCGCGTCGTCGGCCTGCTGGTAGTAGCCGTGTAAGTTATTAAATTATGATACCCATACCCCCTCGTGCACTCGCCACTCGGAAAGGTAGACGTCCCCAGTGGAGAGGGTCAGGTCCACGTTGGACTCACCTCTAGGCCCAGAGAAGGTGTAGGGCTGGTCAGGCATATTTGCCAACGTTAAAGCATGAGTGATAATAAACGCCTCCATTTGCTGCCTTCGATATTGTACATTTTGTCCTCTTCCCACGTAGTGTCGGCGATCACAATACCAGAGTGGCGAGTGCGCATTGGCGTCGAGGCCCATGATCACCCTTCTGCCCTTAAGGCAACTCAGGGCGACCTCTAAGTGGTGCAGGTGGTCATCAATAGTGTCGCTAAATTTAAAGTACGCTGACACCACATAGAGGTCCCATCGGTCAACATGGCACACCACACAAAATTCGTTGCTGAGGTGACTCAGCACTGCTACCCCAATTGCTGGGTTGGCAAGATAGATGCCCGCCCACGGGTGATAGCCCACCTGAACGATCCCCGCAACCTGGGAGTACTGTTTTTGTACAAGAACAATGTCCAGGTGCAGTTCACGCGCCAGGATGGGCAGCTCAGCCGCGGCGAGCTCCCCTCGACCCAGGTTGATTTGTCCTAATCGTAGTGCCTTGTCTTCCTGGTTAACTATGGGGCTGCCCTTATCGGCAGTACTGAGTGGTGGCCACGGAGCGCTGCTCTGCATACAGCCTTGCTGGGCAGTTCCTCGCCATGGTCACGTGCGAGCCAGAGTCAATTCTACTAAATCGCTTGCACGTAGCGCACTTCTCCTCCGTGGACTTGCAGGCACCACGTTCATGTCCCGCCTCTCCACATTTCCCACATACGACCTCCTTCGATCGACAGTACTTCGCAGGATGCCCATACTGTTGACACCTCTGGCAGCACGTGACGTCCACGTAATCACACGGCTCAACCACGTCCCAGCCGATGTATAACCGATTGTATCCGATCAAGATATCTCTCAAGGCAGCCGAACATTGAAGGATCACGGTTGTCCTTCTGCTACCTCTCCAGGACTTTTTGAAAGCAATCCTGCAGTTTTCCTTCACTTTTGCTTCGGTCCATCCACAAGCAGCAAGGTTCTGCTCGTGGAGGCCGCTGATTACATCTTCATTCTTGGGGTCCTCCTCAAAACCCCTAAGAGCCACCAGTGGTAAACGTTGTCTGGGCTCCGTCACCCTCAATGTTGGAGGGGCAGCAGTCTTCAGTTTCTCTGCTGCTTCCTGGGACGTGGTTTGGACCACGACACCCGCATTTCCCACCTTCCTCAGCTTGTCAATCTGAAGCCCGCTGGTCTTGGGGTTAACTGCCTTCTTGAGCTCCATCTTCGTATCTTCTGCAGTCTTCAATGGGCCTTCCGTCTCAGCCGGGTAGAAGGCGACAACTGGGCCTTTACTTGCTGGCATCAACATTTGGTCGGCCCCCTTCGGCAGCCTCAGCGCCACCGAGTAGGAACGTTGCGGTGCCGGGTCCATCGCGTGGCAAGGAACTGCACTGGCCTCAACCTGCGCCAGTCTTCCTTCCGCAGCAATCTTCCCCTGTTCTGCTCTAAGTGCTGCCAACTCCAGTTCAGATATATGGACCTCCATTGTCGCAACCATTGCAATGAGATCATGCCCATATGTAGCCACCCTGTTGACCTCAGCCTTGTTGAGTTTCGACCCTGGTCCGGTGATGATACCCATGATACCCTTGACTGCATCACGAACATGATCGATCACCTCCAGCTTAGATGCGGTCGAAGCTTTAAATATCCCTCTTATTCCCCGGGAGCTCTCCCTTTGGCAGTCCTCACCTACGGCCTCTGCAGCAGGCTCCTCCACATCCCTGGATGGCAGTCCTGCCACCGGGGCCACATTTTGGCGAGGCTCAGTACGCTTGCCCACCCTTGGTCGCTGGGAAGATGACTGTATCTCTTCTGGTGACGTCAGAGGACGCTTTTCAGGTGCTACTGGTGGTGGGGGGGGCAACGCGACCGGCCGACCAAGCGGGCCCGGCGGAGTCCTGGCCAAAGATTTGCGAGGAGTAAACAACTCCTCATCATCCGCCATTATTATTTTATTAACTGTATCGTCTCAGATTATATACAAGAAGTCAAATCACTATCACACATAAAAACAGAAAAGGAACGCAAAATGTCAACGTCAAACTCTATGACAGATGACAGCTGCCAACGTCAGTGTCAGTGTCAGTGTCAATGTCACGCTCAATGACGGCTGTTAGTGTCAACACAACAACACTTCCTAACCTCAGTAATAGAATAATGTTCAATGTTTTACTACTAAACTAAACTACAAGCTATATATAATAAAAGTACTTACAAGTAATTATCCATTAGTAGTAAATTGGAAATAAAACGTAACACAAAGATACTTAGCTAAAATAACCACGCGGTCCGCGTGGTTCTAACCAACAAACACGTGCTTATTCCTACAAAAAGTATTTAAAAATACACCAACACAACACAGTTTTGTTTTGTACGACACAAAAAGCCATATAGTTATTATTAAACAAAAAATTTGCACAAAAGTATTAAGAAAACACAAAATTACTAGAAAATACTTCACGAGGTCACGCGAGAGCGCATAAATACGTCCGCTCAGTACGAGTACCGACGACGAGGATCCTATAGAAGGGAGATATGGTTCGGAACGCGAAGAGCACCGCATTTGCGGCGGTGTCCGGATACTCTCTGCGGACCTTGAAAATTCAGGTGAGGGATGTACGTGGAGATGTCGCGCCGGTTCGTACCCATATCCGCAGCAGGTCTCCAAGGTGAAGAGCCTCTAGTCGATAGAATAATGTAGGTAAGGGAAGTCGGCAAATTGGATCCGTAACTTCGGAATAAGGATTGGCTCTGAGGACCGGGGCGTGTCGGGTTTGGACGGGAAGCGGATGCGGCCGGTGCCGGGCCTGGTCGATGCTCGTGCGTCTCTCGGGGCGTGCGGGCTGAATCCGGACCCGCGTTCCGGCCTTCCGCGGATCTTCCTAGCCGTAAGGTCGCGTCGGTTTCGTTTCGTGCGCGATCGGCGCGCGCCTGTACGACCGCCGTTCAACGGTCAGCTCAGAACTGGCACGGACAAGGGGAATCCGACTGTCTAATTAAAACAAAGCATTGCGATGGCCCTCGCGGGTGTTGACGCAATGTGATTTCTGCCCAGTGCTCTGAATGTCAACGTGAAGAAATTCAAGCAAGCGCGGGTAAACGGCGGGAGTAACTATGACTCTCTGAGGTGGATCCTTAGCGCCATGGTGTACGCGTTAAACGATAAATATCGATCGCTGAGGTTCTGATAGCCTCTTAACGGGGCGCAGCGGGGTCGCCTGCTCGCGTCCCGGCCCTAACGGGAGGAGATAGTGGGTGCTCCTCTCTCAACGGAGCAAAGTGTGGTGGTTGGGAAACCGCCAGCCATTTTTTCAGCCACTTCAATACACGATCTCTGTTGAGTTAGTAAATGGGGTTTGTGTGCCTGGGTGACCCTTTCCAGACACGCAGACTCAACTCCTACCCGAGGCCTGCACGTGGCACCGCCGCTTATAACTGACACGGGAGGGGGGGACGTGCCTAAATTAGTATGCCCCGGAGATGGCTGTTGCGGGGTGACCGCCTCGTTGGTACATTCCTAATTCTGCGAGGCCCAGCGCGTTTCCACTATAGTCTCCCGTTCGGCTGTCTCTTCGCGGCTTTCAGTCGTGTTGTTGGCAGTCGGACGGGAGACTTTAGTCAGGCTTGTGAACCGGGTTTGCTAGATTCGTCTAGTATGCGCAGCGTCTCAGATCATGGGGCGTAATCCGGGCTAGGTTCGGGTGAGATTCCCGAATAGTCCCATCGGGTGGCAATGTGTCGCCAAGTCGAACCGCTGACTTCGGTCGGGACAATACGAGATGCGGTAGGCGAACCAGGTGGCTGGGCTTGCACCCCGGCCACATTGGGCATAACCACAAGCAATGGACAGAATAAGAGGAAATCGATTATTTTGCCACCCTGGCCTCCCACAGGAGCCGGGGAGCTTGGCCCAATCTTCGGCCGCTCAAACTGGGGCTCCGGCCACAGTTTCCGCGGTCACTGACTGGACTTGTCCGGTGTGTGGACGTGCGTTCACCACCAAAACGGGGTTGGGGGTCCACAAGCGTAGGGCCCACCCCGAAGTAGCAAATGCGGAGGCCGCTCCAAATATGGTGAAGCGCAGGTGGCGCGATGAGGAGCTGGCATTGATGGCGCGTACAGAGGCGCGATTACTGGAGGAGACCGGACGATGTACGAACGCAGACCTGTACAAAAGCCTGTCGGGGTCCGAGCGGACCCTAGAGGCAATCAAAGGAAAGAGGCGCTGTGGGGAGTATAAAATCCTGGTACAAGCGTGCCGGGAAGAGTACAGATCCCCACCAATAAGCAGCCAAGCGCCAGAGAACAGGGGTTCGACACGGCCGGAATCTGAAAGTGTCGAGATGCCGGTCCAGCCTCTGCCAGCTGAAGACGCACCGCCTGTCGCCGATGATCCATCACCGCACTTAGGTGGTGCCCCAGATAACACGTGTGCAGACCAAATTGTCGCGGATCTTCTAGCGAGGGCCGCGGTGAGGAGGTCGCGACACGGCCTGGGTTCCCGTAGTGCGAGGCGGCACCGCATACCGAACGTGACTCGGGCCGACACCGCACTGGCCGGTTTGTCGAGCCGCAAGAGGAGGAGAATAGAGTACGCCAGGGTACAGGAACTATTCCAGAAGTGTCGCAGTCGAGCAGCAGCCGAGGTGATCGATGGAGTGCACAGGAGCGTCCGGCACTCTCTCGAAGATTTGGAAGCCTATTGGCGACCGGTCCTAGAGAGGGTGTCTGATGCCTCAGGGCCTACACCGTCTGCTCTAAACGC